CAGGCCTCCTCCAGCACCTGGTGACAGTTACCATTCCTTGATTTTCTGTGACTGTGGTCACTTCACCCCTGCTCTTTTGCCATCTTCACATCTCCCATCTGAGCCTTCTTCTCTGTGTGTCTGTCTATAAATTCCATCTGCTTGTGTTTGTTATAAGGACGCATGTAATTGTGTGGATAATTCAGTAGAACATTTTCTTTCAGGATTCTCTGCTTAGGTGCATCTTTTGTAGTTGAAGGTAATAATACAGGTTGTAGGAATTAAGACATGTACTTGTAGATGCCATTTCTGCTACTATTATTTTTATATAATTCTAAAGTTATAGTCTTTAGGACCGGGGATTTATTTTATAGGGAATTTTATTTATAGTTCTTAAGAGATGATTATATACTGGTTCATACTTTTTTTTCCTAATTTGACTATTCAAAAGTCATCTTTAAGTAGTTTTCTACTTATTATCATTTTTCATTCTCCAAATCATTTTAAATAAAGGAATAATTTGCATCTAAAATGTTTTTGTGCTACTAACATTTGTGTATCATGAATTGCAAACTGTGTTCTGCTCTAGATTTCACAGAAGGTCGGCCAACAGAATTTAACAGATGGCCTACTTAGAAGAATAATATAGCCTCTTTCACTTAGATTGCAGTTTTATTTCAATGAAATGCTGCAAAAAATTTCATTCAATCTTGTTTATGTTATAAAATTGGACTAGTTATTACCTAAACTAAAATACTCTAATTTGACATTGCCATGTCCTTTTGTATAGAAAAGAGGAAGTAGCAAAAAGGCCAGTCAACTATTCCTTGAGGAATATACTAATTAATTTATATACAATCATGGCTCATTGTATAGGTAAGATTGAAAGAAAATTCAAGGTTTAATGATAGTCTGTTTAGATAAATTTATGGTGAAGTCAATATTTTCTTTTTCTACTTTTTTTTATTTTAAAAGGGGTAAAATAAACACAACAAAATAGGACAAAAGAGAGCAATGTCAGAGATACAAATTTCAAAGCTAGACAACCTGAGATCTTCACTGTCTATCATATTGTCTCTTGTTTTCTTCCAAATAGTTGTCCATGTCTTCACATACAGAGAATTCATACAAAACAGCATAGTGTAAAACTGATTGGAACAGAATGAGGCAGGCGGTTTAGGTCTTCAAAACCAGACAATAGGGAAGTCGCTAATGGCTATCGGATTCTGTCCTAGATCCCCATCTCTCAAACGCGAATGTATGGCGGAGGTTAAATAAAAAGAGAAGGAGACAAATTGTATGATTTTTAGGGCTCCAAGAAGGTCAAAACCCTCTAATTAAGCTTGAGGTTTTGAGGGTAAAGACAAAGGATTCTCTGAATCAGTCCATTTATATTAGGACCAAGGACAAAGGGTGGAGAAACTGAGGAAAGTGCAGGCAATAAGCAGGACCTTGGGAGTCACTTCAAGAATGTCTCCAAGTAATGAATCAAGTCAATTTAGTAGCACTGCCTTATCATGAAGACATGGTAGAAATGAGACTGTAAGAGTAATCTTTGCAGCGGCTGGGGATTTAGCTCAGGGGCATAAGCGCCTGCCTTGGAAGCAGGCAGTCATGAGTTTGATCCCAGGTACCGGTAAAAAGGACAAAGACAAAAAAAAAAAAAAAAAAAAAAAAAAAAGGAGTAATCTTTGCAGCTGAAGTCTCTACCTAGTTAATTGGGGTTGGAGCCAAGTGTCTATTTAAGCTGTGGCCTTATCTTGCCCTTTGAGGTATCTCTGGCCTCACAGGCCACTACAAGCCTCAGCCATGACCAGTGATTCATAGAGGTTCACTTTCCATGAATCAGCTCCCATAGCCAGGCAAGGGTCCTATGCTTAGGTTGCTTGGTTTCTCGGTGCTCCAGGTCCCAGCTTGGCGCAGGGCCCAGTAAACACCTGTGGCCACTGTCCTGGGCCACCAGAGCCTGCTATCAGCAGCTGCTCTCAGCAGCTCAAGGGGGTGGGGGGGTATGCTTCAAACTGTCTCTTTCTAATGAATTGACCATTTCACTGCCCAAGTTCTGAAATGGCCAACAGATCATAGAAAGACATCTCTTCGGGCTCCTGCTTGAAACCAACAGCATCAGGAAGCTGCCAGCCTTGATTCAGGGCCAGGAAATCAATATTTTCTTAACCCCTATTGTTATAACTTGGGAGTTACTTAGCTGAGTACATTATTCCTGGACCATATTTGGGTAGATAAACTAGGTGGTGTAAACTGTTATAAGGCTTTGTAGATTGATGCATGCTGGCATAGGTTGGGGAAGTTAAAAACAAGGTCATTCACGAATTTGTAAAGAAACATTTTAATACTCAGTTCAACTGAATGTGAGACTATCAGTAACACTATAGCCTACTCATTGACTCTCCTTATCACTAATAGTTTCATTACCCATGTCCTACCTCTGACAAAGTTCCTAAAATCACTTGAAATATTCAGATGTTTTCAGTAGCTCTCAAGTCATTCTTTTAAGAGTAACAATATATTATACAGACTTGAAAATACTGTAGGAAGCACAGATATAAGTAAATTGAAATGAAGATGAGCTTTAGAAGACTGAAATACAGTTGTAGTTTTTGAATTCCATGGAAAAATTGAAGTTCACCATAAAAATAAAATTGAAGAAGCATAATTTTATATAAAAGGAAGAGCCTCCAAGTTAGTATTTTAAAGTGAAATCAGCAACAATGGTTTTGATTTTAAAAGGACAAATTAGTCATAGTACCAGTTTGGTCACCTATTGGACATTACACGTTGGAAAACTTATTTTGCACCTCTGATACTTTATGCTTCATCTATGAATGTGATTCAAAATATCAGTTTCCCGGAGTTCATTGGATTATCAAAATCAATGGAATCATTAGAAAAAAATGTAGAGGTCCTTAAAGCATGACATTTAAGTGTACTCTGTGATAATAAAAAATATCACAAACATTATGGCCTTATGGAGGCTGCTAAGAAGCAAAGTTAGCAGATACCACATCCCAACTGCATGCTACAATGGTTGGCATTGTTTTTGTCACCAATAATAAGTTTTATGCTACTTGGACTCCAGGAAGTAGTCCGCTAAATTGTTGATTTTTTTTTTAAAGCCTTCCTATTTGCTTAAGACTTTTTTACAGCCTTTTAAATCACACATACAAATTGTAAACTACTATCTTTCGTTTATAAAAATAAAGTCCAATATATGTATCATATATCTCCATAAATTTGTTGAAATTAGATTCTGATAGTTTAATACAGGTAGAGAATAGTGTAATATAGTTTAAGAGAGATGGAACTATCAAGGAAGGGGTTATTGGATTATTGTCTCATTTCCTGAAAGGAATTCAGGATGTGAGTTTGTCTTTCTGGAAAAAATGGGCCAATCGTGTTAACAATCTAAAATTTCATAGAAATTTTGGTAAGCATGTACAATGTGGACTTTCTAGGATCCCTTTGTTCTGGTCCCTAAGCTGAGGTGTGTGAATCAGAACTATAGTTAATAACAGACTGCAGGGTCAAAGCCTTATTTTCATACATGCCTCAGGCTTTCCTTTGAGGCTTTACTGTGAACTTGAATGTTCATAGTAACGTTCAAGGAAATGAACTCAGGAAATGAAATATGAAAGTTTCTACCTTTGTGTAGGCTGGTACAGGGGTGGAATAGAGCGGTATTCTTGAATTACCTAGCTTTCAAAAGCCTCAGAGTAGCTGATGTGAAACTATTCTTAATATTCTTAGACTCAGAAGACCCATTTGTTGTGAACTCTTATCACAAGTTAAACCTTAAATGGCATTTTTGTCCGTTTCTTAAACTTTATCTGTGGTTTTAAAGCACCTTCAATTATCTTTAGATGCCACAGTCAACTTTTCACCATTGTTTGCATTTAGATAACACTTTCTACATCCTTTCCTGTAATTTGCTTTGAGTCAGTTGCTGTATTGTCTTTATTTTGCTCCCTCCCCTCCCCTCCCCTCCCCTCCCCTCTCCTCCCCTCTTTTTCCCCTCCCCACCCATCCTTTCCTGTCTAGTACCATCCCATTGTCCCTGCTACCTACCTTCCTTTCTTCTTTCTCCCTCTATCTCCATCTCCTTCTTCCCTCCTCTCCCTTCTCTCCTTCCCTGTTTTTCTCTCTCTTTTCCTTTTTCATTTCTTTTCTTTTTTCTTTCTTGCTTTCTTTCTTGTTCTTTCCCCTTCTCTCTGTTTTTCTTTCTTTTCCTCTCTCTCTTCCATTCTTTTTTTCTCTGTCTTCCTCCTGCTTAGCTTTCTTCCTTCCTTACTGGTTTTGAACTCTGTGCCTTTATAGTGAGCTACATATCCAGGCATTTTTAAATTTTATTTATTTTTTAACCCATATCTCACTAAATCAGTAAGTTGCTCAAGGCCACATTTGGTCTTGGGATCCTCCTATTTTAGCCTGTCGGAATGCTGGGATTATTAACATGCCCCACTTTGTGTGACTTCATTCAGCACTTTAAAATAGGAGACCCTGGTTATAACCCATACCAGTGTAAACCCACCTGGGTAACTTAGTCACTCAGGCTCTGAGGTTGATGCCTAGTGCCAACAAAAAACACCCAAGATGGCAAACAAAATGAATAAACTTTTCTGTTATTTCCATTGCCAGTAGATGGTTATTTAGTTGACTTTTAAAATACATTAGTTAAATGGGTACCAGGAATTATTTGAATGACAACCAATGAATAGCAATACATTCTGTCTCATAGTGGTAGATGTATATAGTCTACTTACTTATTTTTCTTAAAAGCACAATTCTTTGTCTTATTTTTCATTTTTTAGTGCAGATTTGGTCATTTTTGTCATACTTCATTAGTTTTACTTAAAGGATTAACAAATATAAGTATGTATGCATTCACTTTTGTTGATCATTAAAAGATGGTCCCAATTGGGACTAGTGGAAATCTAGTGGCTCTAATGAGGTTTGTAACAGTCAGTTATACATGTAACACATGCTTTCTAATTTTTTTTTTTTAGGTAATCCAGAGTCTGCTGTACCTCTCCTCCTTATATTGGCTTCACACACTACACCTCAGTGTAAAGTGACTAGGCTTGAAGAGTCCACATACAACCTTAAGAAACTTGTTCTAGGGGGCAACAGTCAACAGGTAAAATTAAAAGTACCTGTTACCAATAATTATATTGAGAATTGGGTAACAGTGATTGACTTGTTTTTATCTTTGACTCTGATGTGAAAAACATATATTCAATACATCATGAGAAATGTTCAAAGACAACAGGAATTTCCAGTTTACTCACTGTAGAAATGAAGTAGGGCAGTGAAGAATTTAACTGGATCAAACTGAAATCATCAGTATATAAAAAGCATTTAGTAATATATAGCTCATCATATGGAGATATGGTAAATAATTTGAATGTTCCTGGGTTCAATTATGTAGCATAAGGAATATTAATCAATCATATACTGTTAAAGTTGATGATGTGCATATGTATTAATGACTTTATCAAATAAGTAAATGAGAAAATCAAATAATAAAATACCTCATATAGTACATTTATTTTTATTAAATGTGTATACATCAATTCATGCATAGCACTATTTAAATTACTATTTCTTCAGTTCTACGAAGTATATTATATCATATCCAACATCTTTGAAATGGGGTCTTATATTAATTGACATCTTAATCCTAGTATTGTTAAAGTGGCAGTGAAATTATAACCAGTGCACATACGGATTTTGTGGGCAAACCATTCGGGACCATTAGAAGAGGGAATATAAGTACTGCTGTTTTCTGGAATATCTTCTGTAGATATGATCTGGTAAAATCAAGAAAGTGTCAGTGCTAAAACTTGTAATTGCAAAACCATCTTGGTAGAAATGCCTAAAGACAGTCATAGCACTCTGGAGAAATGTGAATTTTCAGTGCTTTTGACAGCCTGGGGATTGATACAGTCTTCTTGATAGGCCAGGGGATGGTATCTCCACATCACTGCAAATTGAGTTCAAAGTAATTTTTAAAAAATCTTAGTCTAATTTGGAAATATTTAGGAATACTTAAACTAATTTAAATGTTTTGTTTATCTCAGTACAATTTTAATAGAATTGAACATACAATTTTAATAGAATGCTAAGCTGTTACCTTTTTATTTAAAGAGAAAAAAGAAAGAAAATAAAAAAAAGCAGTAAAGGGTACAAGTAATACAGAATTTCAAGAAAAAAATATACAGTAAGAAATCACTAGTTAATAGGTTACATATTGTCCTCTTAGAAACAGTTGTCCAAATTATAAAATTAAAGCATATAAAGTGGACATTCATACTGTGAAATTGCAGTCAGTTCTGTTCAGTGATCCAACAAAAGCTCAGTAATATGGTTTTCCATCCTACACACTCAAACATACATGCAGTTATATCCCTTAGACCACCTACCTTTCCTTTCTTTTTTACAATAACAATTACACTTTTTGGGTTTTATTACTCCCATAGTTCTTATTACTTTTTTTTGAAGAGAATAAAACCAAACGTGACTAAACAAAACAGAGTCAGAACAGAAGGATGGGAATAGTACATGATGCAAAAATAGAATACCAGGTGATCAAAAGTGGTTACCATTGTGCCTCTTGCTATTTTTAAAATGAGTTGCGTATGTCATCAGGTATAATAGAATTGATCAAAACAGTACAGAACAAGACCAATAAAACCTACACTGGAGACCTTACAGAACTTCAAAAGAAGATAATAGTCAAACCATAATGGGCATCATAGTAAATCTTATTGCCTTCAAAGTGGTTGCCTATACCCTCAAACTTGACACTATCAAACAAAAATAGAATATAGTAAAATTAGAATAAGATGGGGAGAGCAGTACTGGGGTTCAAATCAGGTTAATAGGAAACAAAAAAGTTACTATAATATATCCCGCTATTTTTTAATTTAGTTTTCCCTTAATTGAAAAAAAATAGATTAATTTAAAAAAGAGGGGAGACTGAGATAAAAGAGGACATTGTAACAGAATAACACAGGTCAGAACTGAACAATTTAAGCATCATTGTGTTTCACCACCAGATAATCTAACATAATAGTAGTCACCATAGTGCCTCTTTCCTTGAATTATTTGAGTATAACTTCGTATACTACTGGTTTTAATATGTTGTATCTTACTATGTTTTACTATATGCAACAGTATAAACAAAATTTTTATAGGCAAAGAGATAATATAGAAATTGTTGTTCGTTTTCTGTTAGCTGGTTCTAAATACCCTGTAATTCTTTCATTCTCTTGAATGGCTTCACTGTCTTGATATGCTTGATGCTATAGTATACGAAGCTGTTACTTTTATATAAGATGTTATGCACATACACAAGTTACTGAACTCTAGCATAATATTCACCAGTATGTTTACCATAATTAATTCTGGTATGGGAATTGCGGTTGATTTGTCTTTCTTTATTGTTCATGTTTTTTTTTTTATTTTTTAAGTCTGAATCCCAGGCAATATTCTGCCTTATGTTTATATTATTGCAGTGCAATTAAATATCCTTTTTGTGGTCTATTTGACACATTTTGGTGCATTTTGCTGGAGATTTTGGTATCTAAAATGGCCTTACAGTATTGCTGAAATGCAATCTGGTATTCCCCAACACTGAGATGTGTCTCTGAAAGTATTTGTGTTAAATAAGTTTTGTTCAGGCATGAGTTACAGTTCTACTGAGTTTCAGTGCCATGAACTAACTAACTATATATATATTACAATTATGTTTTGATTGATATGATCTGATAGAAACCTAATCCTGTATTTCTTCTATTAGCAGTGGTTCAATATTCACAAATTTATTGTTTAGGATAATTTTATGGAACACACATGAATAATAAGAATCAATCATGTTCTGTAACATAAAATTAAACATGATCTGTATGATCATGTAAATGTAAAATTTAATTAAAAATGTATTTCAAAATTATAATACAAAGATTTTCACAATACATATAAACAAATGATATGGATATAAATATATGCATATAATGTATAGAAAATATCTAACATTTATTTACATATTTAATAAATTATTACTAAATTTTGCCTTTTTGGCCTGTACATTTATATAATCAATTTTATGTAACATAAAGTAATTTATATGTTACATACAAGTTGAGGAATGCATACACATATGCACATACACAAATACGTATATTTTAAAAATGTGCTAAGATTAAATTGAAAATCACTACACAATTGAAAGTAGTCATATTTTGATAGAGAGCAAATGATGAGGAAAGGACAGATAGGGGTTATTAGATTTAAAATGTTTTGTCATTTTCTGATGGCCCTAGCATTTATAGAATGATGATTTATGTTTAGCATCAACTATAACTTATTATACACTTAATCATATGCATATTAGTAAGCTAAGCTAAGTATAATTTTTTTTTAAAACATTACTTTTGTGAGTTCAATAATCATGCACATTCTAAGAATACATGAAGTATAATATATGGAGTTTGAGAAAAATGAAAGTAACTGGATACTTTTTTTGAAATATAATTTTTAAAAATACCATTGTTACCCATTTCAATGAGTCGTGCATCCTATGTTTTATTTATCATATTAAGAAAGGCAAAGATAGGGCCTGGGGATTTAGCTCAGCGGCATAAGTGCCTGCTTTGCAAGCAGGCAGTCGTGAGTTCTATCCCCGGTACTGATAAAAAAGAAAAAGACAAAAAAAAAAGGCAAAGATAATTGTAGGTGACGTAGGACACTGTCATACTATTTACTTTGTTCTGTCAGTCCTTATAATTCCCATAGGAAGTAAATGCAGTATAAGAAAGCAGACTCAGAATTATATTATTTTACTGAATTTTACCGAATAAATGACATGGCCAGTATACCAAGTCTTCAAGGTCTTTATGCTTCAAAATCTTTATGCGACAAAATAAAACCAGTTGAAAACTTAGCCTAAAATGGTGTACAAATTAGGTCTGTAATTCAATATTAACCTAGAAGTTTAGAAAACTGAATGACAAGCATTTTTGTCTGAAAATGTACATGAGTATGTAATTATGTAACTGTGTATATATAAATACATTTCCCTGTGTAACTACCCATAAGTTTCCTCCTTTACTTTGCATTTTTTTCTTCTTTGCATTGGTTTATGGGAGCACACTAAATTGTTTTAGAGGATGTAGGTGTTTATAAACTATTTTTGTGTAAGATTCAGATAGCTGCATGAGGTAGGATATAAGTACTGAGAAGGATCAAATTCTTGAAATTTTTGTTAGTGCTGACATCTGTTCATTGTAAATCCGTGTGAAGTCCTTCACCTTTTTTGTGGGCATAATTTCCTGTGTGTAAAATGAAAACTCTTACATCATTGTAGCCATTAATAAATTTAAATATTTATATTCATATTTTTCTTATTTTCATATAATAAAAAGTTGGATACATTAAAATATACCTATAAAATGTATTACTATTTTCAATTTTAGCCAATACTTATATATAATGTGTGTGTGTGTGTGTATATATATATATATATATATATATATAATTTACAAATGTACACACATACACATGCATTTTAGTACTAAGAATAGAATCAAGAGGCTTGTGCATGCCAGGAAAGTGCTCTACTACTGAGCTGTATAGCCAGTCCTACTATTAAATATTTCTAAAGGTACTATTATTTTTAGTACTTGTGTGTCATGAACTGATGACTGAGGAGAAATAAGCCTATCTTCAAATCTAGTAGGTAGGCAGGTAGACAGACAGACATTGTTTTCAGGAAAGCAAAATAGTTAAAAAGCAAATTGTAAACATGCTAAGGACATAACCTTTCCAAAATAATTTTAGCACATAGTGGTAGTTTAGGTTGACATTAGCAATCTTAGCAGCTGCAGTACAGTAACTTAATGAAATGTTTTTGCCTTGATGACCATGTCTAACCAAGATCTACCTGTCTGCATTACTTAATTTGTGCTTTAAGATTTTCTTTTCACCTTGACAATAGTTTCCGCAACATTTTGGTAAGCTACTAACCATAAAAACTTACCCTTGTGTTAGCTTTTTGTCATTGTGACAAAATACTTGAGAAAATCAGTTTAAAAATAGGAAAGATTTATTTGGCTCATTGTTTCAGTTCGTGTTAGA